GTACATACAGATACACACAGACACAGAGAAGACTGGAAGATATACACCGAACGTTAATGGTGGTTCTCCCTTAGAGCAAAGTCAGACAATTTCAAAATATGAAAACGTGTGCTATCAAGCCAATACGACCATCTTCCCACTTCTTTCTAAACTTTAAAGCAAAAAAAAAAGCAGTACCATGGGTACAGAAAGTGATGAGGGAAAAGTGGTCCCAAATTTTATCCCATTTGGTATGTAGCTGTAAACAACCTAACAAACCCTAAAGGAAAAATTCCCAAATAATATTAAATTCATATAAACCCTCAAACTCTAAATTTATATGCCTAAATAAAACAAAATTATGCAAGGAAATAAAAATACTTTTAAAGAGGAAAAAAACTTAACCAAATATGAGGCCTCAAAATATCCATGTAAAAATTCCATTATCTCTTATTTTTCCACAAACTTTTTGAAGCTCCCTTACATAAACTAGATGAAATACAAAACCTAACTGTAACAGCACTTTATTTTATATATTTCAAAACAAATCCTGAAATGTTCCCAGATACACTTACATCAACCACTTCCAGATATTTACCAAATATAACCAAGTACCTACTACCTACACAGCATCTCAGGTAAGATAAAACAGGACAATGTAAAAACTGCCTTTATGGAGCTAAGTAAAAAGAGATAAGACACACATATATAGTTAGAGGAAGAGGAGAAAATAAGTGGTTAAGTGACATAGTATAAAGATTAATAAGCTAAGAGGAATTATTAGCTTCATTTATCTATATACATACACATACATGTATACACATACATAAGTACACATACACACAACGAGGGCAGCTTCAAAGAATTCTAATTAAAAGAATGTAATTTTTCTACAATTTCTGAAGCCCCCTTATGTATATGTATGCATACATTGCACCTTTTCCTCCACATCAGATGTAACTTTAAATACTTGAATAATTATTATGTGGTTTTATATTAAAATATTTAAAACATCGTTTCAATAAATAATCTTACTGATTTTAGGATTTCTGATCTCCGTTTTGATTGAAGAACATTAATCTGAGGAAAAATACATGTGGTTAATCAACCATGCCTTACTTTTAAAAAATGAATCTATAATGCAATACCGTAACGTGTTTATTCTCCTTGTTTAACACTTTCCAGAAGGGTAAATAAAAACAAAGTTCAAGCTTTCACCATTCAACCTTCATTTGGGAAATA